TTAGTTACACTTCTTCGAAGGTTGAGTTATTTGAGTTGAATGGAAGTAGAGTTGATCTTGAAATGACTTGGAATGCAAAGGATGTGCATCAATGGCGTGGACGTATTACTCATCAGATTCAATCAGCGGAGATGGCTTCGACCACTCTAATCTGCGACACCCAGCCATGGAAGGACCTGAATGCTCATGTTGAGGATATCAAGAAAACTCATCTTTGTGATTTGATGAACGACGAAAAACAATGTGAACAAATGATGGTGGAGTTTGATGGGAATGCTTTTGATAAGATCAAGGATTGTATGGAGAAAGTTCGCAGTGGCTCATGGATTGGAGTTACGGTGAAAACATTGAATGATGTTATTACAATCAGTATTGGTGGCAGTTTCTTAGGTCCTTTCTTTGTGCATATTGCTCTCCAAGCAGACCCTGAGGCTATTGAATTTGCAAAAGTACGGCAATTATGTTTCCTTGCAAATGTGGATCCTACTGATGTTGCAAGAAATATTGCAGGATTAAATCCTGACACCACTCTTGTTGTGGTGGTGTCAAAAACTTTTATAACAGCAGAAACTATGTTGAATGCTTCGAACATTAAGGGAGTGGATTTCATCTGCACTTGGGCCTTCTGCAATCATTTTATAAGAGTGGCTTGCTATATACCATGAGAAGTATAACCAGATTGTTGTACACTCATTGACTGGTGATATCAAGTGGATGAGAGTTTATGCTGCATCAATGTTGCGTAGGCATCGGTTCAACTACAGCGATGCAGATGTAGCATACTGAAAATCGTAGTTGTCCTTCTTCCAGCAGGCTCTGATATTAAACAAGTGTTCATATGATATTCTGCAGCAAATTGATTTGAATCTTGATGAGAAACATTTTATTGAAAAGCGTTTCATTTTAGAGAATCTCTACCAAGGACTCAAATTCAAGTAAGCAGTTTCATTTTGATAATTTTGAGATCCACCCACTAAAGATGATTTCAACATTTATTATTGGGGAGTTCTATTCTAGTTATAATCCAGCCCAGAAAGCTCTAAGAACGTTGATACATAGTGTGATAAAGGTTCCTCCTATAACAAAGATGGCTATGGAGCTAAATGGCTCGTAATCATTTGTGAATTGTTAATAAGGTGTGCGCAACATTATTCAGGGTATACTATGAGGTTCACTTCCATTGCTAAACGTAGTGAACTACTGCTCCCAAATTTTGCGTCAATCTTTGATGGCTTGGCTTCATACTCCCTTGATATAATTCTTGATCTTTTTCAAGGCTTGATGAATCTTCATTCTTTCCAATTGGGAACCTTTAAATTCATCATTAGATATATTAGTGGTAAAGGTTTCTCTGGAACAAAATGCTACTTTGGTGATATGGGTAAAACACTGAAAACGAAGGGGTCTATTGTAAGTTTTGCTGTTGATACTAAAATATTTGACTCGATTCTGAAGGGGGGAAAAGCAAGTGATTTCAATGGAATGGTGACTGAATTTTACCAAGGACTATTAATATTGGGTGATAGGGATGTTTGATTTCTAATAGCGTTTGGGCATGAGTTGCATCATTTGAAAGATTACCCGAAGGCTTCGATGCTACAATCACAATTTCCGAACGTTGATCCTTGGAGATAAGGATAGGTTGCAGGGGAGGGTAATGTCATGAGCATGCATGGAGGATTAGGGATTGAAGTTCAAATAGGGGAAAATAGTATGAGACATGTTAAACTAGATGATGAAACCTTCGGCGGGTCAAATACGGGTCAGACTTTGAAGCGGAGTATATCCGAAGAGAATGGGTTATTAGCAACTGGTATTGGGTGAATTATAGAGTATAAGCCCATGAAAACTTAATTAGTAAAAGTAGGCCTATCAGCTATATAAATATAGAATTGTACTTTTGATGAATGAAATACGAGCTTCCCATCTTTTCTCTCAACTTCTATCTGCCTTCTCAATTTCTTCTATTTTCTTCAATATAATTTCTTCATGTCCATGACATAAAATGACCTGAACAGTTGATCTCGGAGAAGATATTTAGGTATATGAGAATGGAGGACGGAGGGGCAAAGTGGGACGAGATCAGACGACGTTGATTATGTGATAAGACGAAATATCGAACAGCAACCGTTGAGATCTAAATCTCTGAGTCCCGGGTGAAGAGTTACTTTCATTTTTCTGCTTTTCTGTGCAGACAAAAAAACCGTAAACCTCGAGGTCATCTCTTCAAAACTCTGAATGGGCTTTTTTTTTTTATTTATTTACCCGAATATCACCTTTTTAGAAATTATTTTTCATTCTAACATTGATCAACACTCTTTTATGTCAAGTTGGATAAATGCGTGTTACGTGATCTATGCTTTTGAAAATGACTCCAATAACTGCACCAGCATGAATACAAGCCGAGCAACTACTCATGTTTTATGTTCAATCGCTTAATAAATTATCTAAATAACTTATATTTAAACACTTAAAAACTCATATATAAACAATATAGATTTAAAAACATTAAACTTTTCAAATTTAAAAGACTGTGAGCTTTTAAGTGTTTAAATATAAAATTTTAAATACATAATTATTGAGTAATTGAAAATGAAACTAAATATGCTCGTCGTCATTGTCACCCCACTCGTGCTCAAAATTATTTATATATATTTTCGTTTGAAAATTTAAAGATTATTTTGGTTATCTTGAAAGAGACCAGTTTGCTATTGACATGAACCCAAGAGGTATTTTTATACCAATATATTAATCAATTTTCGGATGTTCAAATAATAAAATATCACGAGTAAAGTATCATTCAAATCAAGCTACATAGTATCAACTATCCAAAAAGTTTCGTCTCAAAATTATAGTTCAGCTATTCAATAGAAGTAAACAACTGCGAGCTGTTACAATTATATAGCTAAAGGAAAAATTATGCTACTTCGAATTCTCAGTTATGCAAATGATAGCCTATCCTAACATCTGTTTTTCCCAACCAATAAAATTAGTTTTTATGTTTCAAAAAGCACCTAAAAAGTGCTTTGCCATATAAAATTTTTCCCGTTCTTGCTTCTACCTCCTTGCTATTATAGCTCTGTCAACAACTTGAACCAAACTATGTGAGGAACTCGTGAGCGGGTCCATGAAAAGACTCGGCAAGAATAGTTGAACCTTTTGATAACCGGAAGACTAATCCATCGCCCTCTCGGTGGCGTTTGCTACCTTCTGCATTATCATGGACTCAGCTTGACGAATTGCTCTTTGTGATCCCGTGATTGTGACTTTCCTGTCACACAAGGAAAAGGGGGGAAATTTACCTAGGAACTCAATGCCTAATGGCAGATTGATAAAATTGGGATTGTTGTACCTGTCGGTTGTTCCAGACATGAAATCGCCTCTATCCGATATTTTTATCCTGGCACCACTTGCCTGAAATGAGAAAGTGTTCAGTTTCATAACATGAGAAAAATACTATGGAACCAAATGTATCTATTAGACTATTTTTAATTTATAAACCTGACTAATTTCCATGATACTCCTTCCAGCACGACCTAGAACCAATCCAATATGCTCATCAGAAACACCAATCGTAACGGAGTTGCTACGATCCTCCTGGATAGACATGTAAAAGAATTCTATTGAGTAAGGATCAATTTATTAACAATATACACAATATAGCATGACTGCATGAGTTATTGATTTCAGAATATCACTCACATCACTTGCAACATAAATAATAAGGGTTTAGGGAGGCATTAGAAATTGAAATGACACTAGAAATACAACAACAATATTGCTCCTAATCTTCATTTAACTTAAATCACCCATGTCCGACATATTCAGACAAAAGCAAGGTATGGGGATATGACACCAGTACCCATATCCAACACTCATACCCAAACCCGAGTAACATAGTACCGCAATACAACAATTCTAGAAGTATGGTAAAACTTGGCAGTAATGAGTTGACAAATAACTATTCTATGAGTCTGCCAAAAAAAAAGGAAGGACCATGTGATAGTCCTTTGTGAAAACACCAAAGCAAAAAATAGTAATAATATAGTTTGTCTGGTACTGAACAAAGTAAATCAGCGTCAGCCATCACGCAGGACAGAGAAAGCACATAGAAAGAGATGAACCTTGTGATTAGGAAACTTCACTCCAGCTCCATTTGGTGCATAGCTCATTGAATTGTAAGTCACTGTATCAACAGAAGGAAGCACATATGCATATGGTATCCATGAAAACCAGAGAAGAAAATACCTAAAATTTCAAGTTTTTTTTAAAAAAAAAAGCTTACCGGGACAAAATCAAAGAAATCTTACTAGCAATATGTAGTGAGAACTAAACAAAGGACATAATAAAATGGTAAATATGCAATCCCCCATCATGGACAACTCGCATCATAAATTAGAGCATAAAAATGATCATTAAGAATCAGACTTGACAACTGAAATTTGTTAAAACAACCTTAAAAAAACAAACTTCCAAAGTGAACATCTGGAATTTAAACACAAAGGAACTTCCATGATATTTTTGGGTCACAATTTTTGCAGACAGACTATGCTTACTTCCAAGCATTTGACCACCAGATGAAATCTGCAATTACTTTGCAATTAGGATAAATTACACAGGTGAAACACCTTCTAATTTAGTGCTTGTTATGCCCCTTTGCTTTAAGGTTTCTGCTATCATACTAAATGGCTCAGGTCCGACGGAAAATAACATAACAGTTCTCTAAGCATTCAGCCTTGAGTTTATTTTTTAAAAAATAAAATCCTTTTCCAAAGAATACATGTGAAGGCTAAAAGAGAAATAAAATATCAAAAACTGAGATAGAAGACTTGCGTTGGATGTGGTCCTGGTGAAAGATGAAATACTGAGAAGAAAAAAAAACTATTGTTACAGACAAAGGCAGTGTGTTCTTATCCCCCCCCCCCCACCCCCCCAAAAAAAATGTTCGAAAAGCATCATGCTGGCTGCTAAGTTTACTTTTCAAATACCTAGCACATCTTAAAACCTCTAATGAGACATATGAGTATTGTTAGGCTTGGGCTTAGTGCTAGATGGAAACCTGTAAAATGGATAATAATGGGTGAATGGAAATACATCTTTTAATTGATAAATGGTCACAGCACAACTGTTTGCATAACATGATTGTGATATAACCATGAAAGAGGTGGGAGATAAAAATGGCAATATAGTGCTGATAAAGCAGAGACAATCGATGCAAACATGGACTCAATAGTTGAATAAAAAGATTACATACCTGCATATGAAAATGGGGCATGCATAGCTTGTGAATAATGGGGTTCTTCACAAAGCTTTGAAAGAATCAAATCAATTGCTCTCAAACTGCTCATCTAGAGTGCCAATTACTGTTACTAGCCTATCATTCAAGACATAAAAATTATCATCCTGTGGAGATATCTTAATTCCAGCTTGGGAGCCATCAATAAATGACCTGCAAAAAGGTATAAATAACAATCCGAGTATGTTTAAGGCAGACATAATGAAAAGGGACAAATAATACTTCAATACCAAGTTAGAAACTAAAACATACCATGGACCACAGACATAAAACATGAGCCTACTTTAAACAATCATTTTTAGTATATGTTTTGTTTCTTGTTTCATCTAATGCATTCAGAAAAGATTATGTACACAGTTCACAAGTACAACAATAGTTTTCTTACAAGGGAGCATGTTAAGGATTTATGAGCTTTAAACAACCAATTAACTTCTTGCGAGACTTAATCCACAAGTAGCAGCTATAAGTCACTTGGGGAGAAGTCATACTTTATGAACCAGAATAACTTTCGAGTATCAATTATCATACATACTTGGGTGGAAGTAGTGGATAAATGTAGAAAAGCACAGGTTAACATGAATTTTCCGTGCATTTGAGTGTTACATTTAAGATACTGATCCATTTCGAAGAACATGCCCTCAGCCCACACAACACCCAAGCACCAATGTATTATGACAACAATAGATTGGTTCTTTTCCATGATTCTCAGTTGACATACAATCATAAATAAAGCCCAAGGTACTTCAATTGATAAAAGAAAACAAAATATCATGCAGCTCAGATATTGATGCCAGTTGGAACTTCCTGTAAGAAAGCACTGTTCTCGTAAACCTTAAACTCCACATCTTTAGCTGTTATAATGAAACAAAAGCCATCCCCATCTAATTAGAGAAGAAGCATGTCATGAATATGCAATTCTAGAAGTAACTTATTAAGCTGCATCAAAATTATCGGTATGGTAATCTTTACTAAAGTTACTCCTATCACCAAAATTTCTCCTTTTCAGTGCCTGTCTCACCAAGTTAGCTCTCTTTACATGTGAATTTCTCAAATCATCCCCAAGACCCTAACTCAGTTGGTCACGTATAACTTCCGTTGCAGACATTCTCACAAATGACTCAATTCCAAAATAAGCAGTTCAAACACCAGTCATGTGACTAAAAACTATATTAAAAGTTCCTTTGATTTCAAGCCTGCAAAACATCCTATCCAGTGCCAAAATCAAAGCAACAAAAACATGTACAATAATCGGAGTATCCAAGTAGAATTCTTACTTTATGGTAGCCCCTCCTTTCCCAATTATGCTGCCACAAGAGCTATTGGAAACAATTAGCCTCACTTTTGTTCTAGGTTCAGCAGCATCATTATCATTGATATTAAGCTAACCAGAAAAACAAGCTTTGTTATTTATAAAATTGTCGGAGAACTTATAGAGTTCATAGCCAAAAAGAAAAAAGGATCACCTCATTCAATAATTTCGCAAGGATAATTTCCACGGCTTTGAGTATATCATCAATTGCTCCAGAAATCATAATGATCCTGTCAGATGTTCCCGGAAAAAACTCATGACTGCGTGACAACTGAATTCGAGCTCTTGATTTTGACTGAAATTCAGAAATCATTGAACCACCCTTTCCAATTACAGAACCAGCTGCAGCATTGGATACAAGAAACCTGATATAAGTAGGCTTCTCTGCATTCTCTGCCAGAAGAAATATGCCAACAAAAATATCATCATCAATGCATTAGTAGTCAATGAAGAGCTTCCAAAGAGAACATGAAATTTTCATCAATTCGAGCAATCTCCTCCCTTTCAATGCAGAAGACAAATAAGAGGATAAAAAAATCAATTATGTACGATGCAACACCATATGTAATTTTTAACTAAACAAATTATTTAAGTAAATGCCTTAAATACAGAACCCGAAATAGCCTGAGCGCAACATGTATTGCTTTTTTTTTTTGATAGGAAAAGTAGGTCTCATAAAAACCTCCTTCTTAGTAGCCCTTACCATGAGGTCAGAACCTACTAGGGGAAGGAGGAATAGAGAACCTTAATATATTGATAATGTAAAAATTACATAAAACTAGAACCACTCCTTTAAGATACATAAAACTTAAGCACACTCTTATAACGCCTTGATGAAAAACCTCCGAACCCAGTACTAAAAAAGTGACCCACTACCCAATCCCCTCCTTTGCAAGCAAATCTGCCTCGCAATTACAGCTTCTCGGAATCCACCTCACAATGACCTCATACTCAGAAACCGCATCCGCAATATCCTTGACAAAATTTAAAAGAAAAGGAGGAACTGACTCCTGATATTTCAACCACTCCACAGCTAACTTGCAATCAGATTCAATAATAAGCCTTCCCTTCAATACCCATTCTGATGACACAAAGATGTCTATTCCTCTTTTGATGGCTTTTAACTCTGCTAAAATGATAGGAGTAGGCCCTATTTTTTCTGAAAACGACATCAATTTAATCCGATTCCAATCTCTAAGAATGCCCCCAATTCCTGCTAACAACCCAACCCTACTAACTGCTCCATCCACGTTAAACTTAAAAAAATCGACTGGAGGAGGACTCCAGTAAACCACAGGCCTGTTCGAATCAAGAGAAGCTGAAATATTATCAGCCAATGAAGGATCACCAATTAGAGAGTCCACTTGAATAGAGGATAAAGGATACTTAGCTAGGAACCATTTCGCAAGCCTTAACCTGACTGTGAAAAACAATGAGGATGTGTCCAGCTTGCCTCTTTCAAAAACAATTTCGTTTCTCATCTTCCAAATCGACCATAAAACAGCCCCCGGAATAAACTTCCACATATTAGAAAATGGCCTAAGAACAGACCATGAAATTAGAATTGATGAAGGATCAGTAGGTAAGGCTAACTTGATACCCCAGTAGGCTATGATTCTGTTCCATAGTACCCAGGAAAACTGGCAGGAAATAAACAGATGCTGAACTGATTCCTCTGCTTGATTGCAAAAGGGGCATAGAGAGTCCTCCCCTAAGTGAACCCCCCTTTTCTTCAATTCCCCTCTAACCGCTACTTTATTAAGTGATACTTGCCAAAGGAAAACCTCTACTCTAGGAGGAACCAGACCTTGCCAAACATATTTGTTCCACCTAAAGTTATCCTCATCCACTGAGTAGAAAGATTTCGTGCAAGCTTTAACGGAATACAAACCCTCGCCCGCACCAACCCAAAGCATACAATCCTCCAAAGATTCATTTAATTTGATAACATTGAGCTTGTCCAATAGATCAACCAGCTGAGCCACTTCCAATCGCATAGATTCCTCCTAGTCTTAATATTCCACTCCCAACCATTCAAATCAAAACTACCAAATTCAGCAACCTTACCCCTTGATTTGTTGACAGAGCAAAAATCCTAGGGAAAAGAACTTTCAATGGAAAATCCCCCAACCATGTATCATTCCAAAAGAAAATCGAATTGCCATTCCCAACTTGTAACCTCGCATGAGATCTAATGCATCCTCCAAAGAAATCATCCTTCATGTAGCTATTCACAATACCTCTCCAAATCCAAGAGTCCTTATGGGAGGAGACTTTATTGACATCCATAGAAAGACAACTAACACTATGTTTAGAACATAAGAACTTTTTCCACAAAGATTCTTTTTCGTTGGCAAACTTCCACACCCACTTTCCCAATAGTGCTCTATTAATAAGCTTCAAATCAACAACTCCTAGACCACCTCCACACTTCGGTTTACAAATCTTAATCCAACTCACCCAATGCATTTTCTTCTTTTCTTCTCCTCCACCCATAAAAATTCGCCATCAAAGAGTTTAATTTTTGACAGATTTTAGTTGGAATCTTGAAAATAGCGAGATAAAAGATAGGTAAAGAGGATAAAACCGACTTAATAAGCACCAATCTACCGGCCATAGACAAAGAAGAAGCTTTCCATCCCGCCAATTTCTTATCAAAGTTAGCTAGGACTGGCTCCCACAGTTTCTCACAGTTTCTTTTAGCCCCTAGCGGAAGGCCTAAATAAACTGTCGGAAATGAACCAATAGAGCAGCCAATGTCCCTAGCCCAACTTCTCAGTGTGTCCTCCTCCACATTAATACCATACAATTTACTCTTAACTAAATTAAGATGAAGCCCCGTCATAAAACTAAAAATCATCAACACTCGTCTAACGTTTTAATTTGAGTGATGGAGGCTCGACAAAAAATAATTAAGTCATCCGCAAACTGAAGATGGGTCAAATTGAAACTGTTTTGCACATTTCCAAAAGAAAACCCTTGAAATAATCCTAATTCCACAGCTTTATTTAACATCATATGAAGGAGTTCACCAACCACATTAAACAAAAGAGGAGAAAGACTACATCCTTGTCGCAAACCTTTAGCAATATGAAACTCTTTTGTAGGAGACCCATTCAGTAGAATAGATATAGAAGCTGTAGAAATACACTGATTTATCCAAGAACACCACCTTTCTCCGAAGCCCATCTCCTTTATAAGCCTTAACAGAATCTGCCAATCCACGGTGTCATAAGCTCTGCTAAAATCCACTTTGAAAACAACCCCCTGCAGCCCTTGTTTCCTCCAATAATCTATGCCTTCATTTGCTAAACAGGCACAATCCAACAATTGCCTCCCCGGAATAAACGCGAACTGTGTAGGGCTAACAATATCTTTAACACAAGAAGAAAGTCTTTTCGAAAGAACCTTAGAGAGAATCTTATACAAGCTGCCCACTAGACTAATAGGTCTATAATCTTCAATACTCTCAGGATTACCTTTCTTTGGAATCAAGGTAATAAAAGCATGATTCACCCCATGAACCCACTGCTTTCCATTGTAAAAATCTGAAAAAAAACTCCATAATCTTCACCTTCAACAAATTCCAATACTTCTTGTAAAAACCCATTGTGAAACCATCCGGCCCTGGAGCTTTTGCACTATCCGAAGCTGAAATTGCTTGCCACACTTCTTGCTCTGTAAATACCTCTTCTAGAGAATCACTTTGAACTTGAGACAACTGTTTAAAATCAAAATTCAAGCCCTCAACTTCCAGTGTAGTTTTTTCATTATATGCATTCTTGAAAAACTTAAACACACTGTCTTTTATCTTTTCTGGATCCGAAATAACTTTGCCTTTAAAATTGATAGAATGAATAGTGTTGAATCTATTCCTTTTCAATGCACTAAGATGAAAAAACCTTGTATTCCTGTCGCCATCTTTAATCCATCTGTTTCTAGATTTTTGAAACCAAATTCTCTCCTCAATCCTTAACAGTCTCCATAATTCCTTTTTAGACTCAATCAATTGTGCCCAATCCCCTGCAGACTGCTTTCCA